AAACTTAACTATTTCTTGGATCAGAGCAGAAGCACCAAATCTAACTTCTGGGTTAAAAGATGGAATGCAAGGGCAGATAGAGATACTTAAAGCGTAGGAGTAATCTTTGTGCTGAGTGTGAAGTGGCCCTTGAAAAATCTAGGACTGTGTTTGTAACGTCATGGTATTTAAGATATTAAATAGTTTTTGAATCCCATCAACAAAGGAGTACTTTAATCTTTTTTTAGCTGTTAGTTCCATTTAATTTCGAAAAGAGAGGGGGGGAACAGTCTGTTTACAGATTTTCACTCTTCATTTGAGTTTTAGAGAAGGACTCTGGACATGCTTGGGGGTTGTGATTATTTTTTTGACTGCAGGTATAGCCATTGTTCCAATGGTTCTACAAGGCAGCCTCCAGCTAAGCAGAACTACAGTGACTTCTGCAATATTTTTCTTTTCCAAGCATCTGCATAAACAACCCATAAGGACACTGTGCCTGCAGTGGGGTTTGGGAGTCAGTTCTTGGAGTGTTTCACAGCAAGAGGAGGTAGCGAAAATGAGACAGAGGAGGAAAGGCTGTTGTCTTCTGTTTAATAAGGAAATACATCTTTGCATTAGCATCTGTCTAGAAAAGCGACTTGCACACTTGCCCAATTCTACACCAGACAGGTGGTTTATTTAATAGAGATTAGAAGATCAGAAGTTCTGCTGTTGACAATACCAGGCATACCTGGCGAGGCCCTTGGTTTGTGGTTTTTTGTTTGGTTTTTTTTATAAATGTAGCCCATGTGGGCGCCATTTCGATAGAGGGAGATCAAGGACCCTTATTTTGCAAAGTTTATCAACGTCACTGATTTTTTTTTTTAAGTGATGATCAAACAAAACCCCCTTCACCAAATATTCATCCTCCAAAGAATTCAACAGAATGGGATTGAAATTCCAGAGTTCCTAAATTCAGTTGTGTGCTTAGAGCAGCATCGCATTTGAATAGGTTTGATACTAATGATAAAATCATGCAGCTTAAGGATGTGTAGAACAGCTTGGATGTTCTACGTGATGAACCCAGTATGGTGTTAGTTTGTGAAGAAGTTGGGCAAAAAGCTGGTTTTTCCACAAAATACGTTCCCACAGACTGCTACAAGCTTGGAGTATTGTTCTTGTGGATAAGATTCTACTACTGCAATTCAGTATGGTTTTGGATAAGAGGGCAGAATTGCCTTTTTTTTTTTTTGTGCTTGTGTGTCTTCTTTTAAATGGATCAGCAGACTTGTTTGTTTTTCTATTGTAGTTATCCATGCAATAAGTAGGAACACTGTATGGTTCATTTTTAATAATTAGTACACAGCTGCCCAAAGGGGAAACTGTGTGGGCAAGAGATCTTGATCTTTGTTTTAACAGCTGGTATTATTAAGGGAGTGCTTTGCAGAATGGGAAAAAAAAAAAAAGGATGAAAAGCGGTCAACAGTTAATCCAAAGATGTAGCAGGCACCAAAAGATTTACTGGGAATTAGTTCTAAAATTGCGTTTGTTCAAATTATTTCAGAATAAAAAGAATGGGTGTGTATTAAATCGGGGAAGTGGGATGGTGCTGGGGAACAGTGAAAAGTTGCAACATTGTCAACTGAAAAAATCTTCCTGGAACAACAACAACATATATTTAGCATTGTTACCATGCTGCAACTCCTGGGGGAGGCAGCTCGGCTCTGGAGCTCTGCTGTGGCTCATGATTTATACCATTCCAGCAGCAGAGCGATACACACCAGAATCTGCTCATTTTCAAAGCTCTTGTTTATAACGCACTGAACAGAACAGTGAATCCCTGCGGGTCGGTGCAGCTTTCAGTCTGCAGCTCTGGATACTGTCAGCAAAACCCAAATCCTTGTCCCATTGCTATTCCCCCAGGAGGAGCAGAAGGAAGAGGTTAGCATTGCTTTGCTTTGTTTCTTTGTGTTTTAAATGAGTTTTGTGGGTATCATTAATGCTAATGGTAGAGATGCGTCATTTCTCTGGGGCCCAGTAGATTTTAGTAGTTATGAGCCTTGTTTAGCTTCTGCTTAGCTAATGACTCTGGATTTTAAGGTCTAGATTCTGCTCCTTATCCTCATAGCTAGTAGGAATAGGTTCACTTAAATAAGTTGAATTGCACTAGTATCACCAAAAGGAGAAGCACCGTGTCCGTGTTTGTCTTCAGTTTCAGTAACTGAACGTTTACAGAAAAAGGTTGAAATGCACTCAGTCCTTCAATAAAAATAGTTGGTATTTCTGATCTTACATCTGGCATTAATTGAGGTTTCTCTCTTATTATCTTGCTCTTTAAGAGCTTTCTTATATCCTGGGTTGTAATTTGCACATTATAATGTATTTTGAAACAAAACTGTGTCCCATTCTGGGGTTTCTTGCGTGTATTTTATAAGCAGAATTCTATGGTTGAAAAGAGCTGTTCATTTCTGAATGGTCTGCTTGTGACAGATGGTTTTCATTGTGGCAAAGTCGTGCAGTGCCTCAAACCTCAAAACGTATAAACTTATTTGAAGGAAATGAATTGCTGCTGCAGCATGGCCTTCTATGAAAAGTGTCCTTGGACAATGGGAACAATGATTTTTGAGCTTTTACCTTTTCCTTATTTGAAGAAAAACATAATGTTCACTTTCAAGAGCATGAAATTTTGACACCTCTAAGATGCACGTTTCCTCTTCCAAGAGATGTAACAACTTTCATAGAAGTGTTTCCCACTGATAACAGCAGATGACTCATGTCAAGTCTCTAATGCCTCTGTATGGCCTTTTCAAGTAATCTATGTAATGCTTAATACTTAGAAGAACTTAGGTTCTTCTACACGTGCCTGTAATGCATGTAATCTACATAATTTCATGTCAGAATCTCCACTGTTCCAAGAAAACCAGGCTTCCCGTTTGCCTGTGAGAGGACCGACTGTCTTTTTGTCCCTAACTATCCGGTATCCTTTGATTCAGTTGCTGTTTCTGTTAATCACCTATTGCTCATCAGCTCTGTCCTGCTCCAGTTGAGCTGTTCGCATCCTCCTGCCTTCCCACTCCCCGGAATTGTCCATTCCTCTCTGTTGTCTTACCTCTCACAGCATCTTTTTAAGCTGCTGCAGCACAAGCAACCACATCCTCTCTCATGTGGCACATCCTCCCTCTCACCTTCCTTCCTGGCTGCTGTGTTAGCACTCTTACTTGCCCTGTTGCTATAGAGGGACCACAAGTTCTGCTTTACCACATCCTTTGTAGGATACAACAGGCCAAGGGGGAGGAGAAGACCTGCTTTGACACCAGGACGGCAGAGGTGGAGGGTCTGGGGCTCTAGTAGGTTTGGGCTCCAGTGAGGAAGGCTGATTGCTGTGGTGATGAGAGCAGCCCCTGGAGCCAAGCCCAGGAGGTTTCTTGCAGGAGCACCTGCTCCCCTGGAGCTCCACCGCTCCTGCCCCCGCGGCCGGGCGGCAGCAGTGACTCAGAGGCTGCAGGAAGGAGCAGTTTCAGTTCATGGTTTAAGCTGTCAGCAGAGAGAACTAGACACCAAGAGCGTGTGTGCCTGAACGTCTTGGCAGTTGGTGACACTGGTTGGACTCACACAGGGAAGAATCCTCTCGTGAGCCATGTGTCAAGTTGTGTGAGGCTTCCATAGTAGGTGTGACAGGGGGGCCACCAGGGCCAGTTCTTGGGCTGTGCTCCCACTGACCTGCCTGGCTGGTGGAGGGGCTTTTGTTGCCAACTCGATGCTCTGTGCTGCCACCGAGGAGGTCGCTCTCCCTCCCATCCCCGCTCTCAAAGCTCTCTGGTGGTCTTCGTGCTGCAGTTGGTCCTGCTCTTGATAACCTTGGTGGCATTTCGGGTCTGGTGGTGTGCATCACCTTCTCTGCCGCAAGCTTGGAGCAGCTCACCCTGTAGTGGCTCAGCATTTTGTTACCGGGGGAATGTACCCATGGAGCTTTCCTGTAGGTGGGCCCATTTGTTAGGTGTTGCAGTGGAATTAGTTCCCTGTCAGCCCTGAGGATCTGGTTGTACTCCCAGAACCAGCCTGGCCTCGCTGGGGCTGCCATACTTGTTTAGCTCTCCAGGTGCTGGCCCCTGTGTCATACGCTCGGGTGGCTTTTTTCAGAAACCCTTTTTGTTGGACTTGAGGCAGGTTTCTGTCAAGGTAGGATTAGGGTATGGCCGAAACCTGCCTGTGAGACAGCACTTCTGCTTAATTAGCAGGAGGGGTCACTCTTGAGTTTGTGGAAGGTGGTTTTCTGGGTGGGGGTGACTGTGGTTGGTGTCCAGTGCAATTAAGAGGGTTACTCCCTGTTGCTGCCCTTTGCTGTGCAAAGGGCCTTGCTAGTCTACTGGGGCAACATTATTTTGAATCCAAATTAAAATTGGCATAAATATTAGAACTTAGTTTGCTTGACAGCTTCAGCAAAGCGCTGAAGAAAGAAAACATTTAAGAGCTGAAGTATAGACCAGAAACTGCTTAATTCATAATGCTTATTGGAACAAGTAGGACAATTGGAGGTGAGTTTATCTAGCAACATAAAAGGTATTTCAACATAAAACATAGTCTGTTTCCATTCTTGATTTCTGGGATTCCTCTCCCCCCCAGGTTTGAAATGCACTCAGTTGCCTAATGGTGCAGCAAAGAATCTTATTTTTATTCCTGTTTTCTCTTACCTAGATCGAGTTCTGAGGTGAATTGGAAGAGATAAAAGAATAGTGTTAAAAACCTTTTGGGCTTTATGGAATGAGTTTAAGGGGCGGCCGTGAAGGGAAAATGGAGGTGGGAAAATAAGACTGTTGGTTTTTTTTTTCTTGGTGTTGATTACTCAGCTTGAGTGGAAATATGCATGTTTAAGGTGAAAGGTCAGGAAGAATTTATTTAATACTCAAAGGGTGAAATGAAATTAAATGCTTGGATGAATAGGAGATCCACATGAAAAATGCATGTGATCATAAATAGTTGTGTGAGTGAGAACCGGATATACAGGGGTAATGGAAGGGTAGGTTCATAAACCAGCCGGTAAAGCCACAGCCTCATTTCACTGTAAACCAAAAAGAGATGGTGTCCCTGTCCCATCGGTACATCCTCCACGGTGCCATCAGTCCTCCTTGTCTGTGCTGCACGAAGCAAAAGGTTAGTGTCCTGTACTCCATTTCATACTTAACATGTCTAAACACGGATGTTTGTTTAGTTGTCATTAACTGAGGATTTAACTGACTAGCTGAGAAGTTTTGTGTGGGAAGTTGTCTCATCAGTAGTGGCTGAGTCAACAGATGCTGAAGTGCTTTCGTATTTTCTGCTCATCTCTGTTTTCTGGAAGGCTCTTGCAGTGGTAGCCTGTACTTTATGCATTTTCTGTCATTATTAATTTGCCTGAAGACTGAACATTTGCATGTAGCTTTATTGTAGGTCTCCGAGGATCTGTGATCTGAATTCTGTTGTGTTCTGCTAGCACTGTAGTGCCATATGGGACTTAACTGAGCCTATGAAGGTCTCATCATCTTGTTAATTATTTTTCTAATTTGGAGTTGTTAAACCGTGGAATCCAAAAAAGTAATTTAGAATTTGAACACTCTAATGTGTTCTTGATCTTCATTTCCTTTTTGCTTATGGAAATAGGTGACAGTGTTTAAAAAGAGAGACGTGGGAGGAGAAGGTATGAACCAGAGGTGAAAATTGGTGTTTAATTCCCCTATTCCTACTTATGTTTCTAGGACGGTGGATAAACAAGTCATTTTGGGAGGAAAAGGAATCAAACTCCCTGGAGAGTGAGGCAGTAGGAAGTCTTCAAATATACTTAATGATTATGGATCATGGGTCTTTTATTATGTTGCTGGATTAGAATTCTAGGAGCAACACGCTAAATATAAAAGCTTGGTTTTTCTGTTATTAACACCTGAATTTTCAGCACGGTTTTTCTTCACCACTTGTCTCTGTATTGACGTTCTTAGTTTCACACTCCTGCACCACAACCTGTGAAAACAGCAGGAGGTGTGACAGTGACAGGTCAGCCTGGTTCCTGGGACAGTAAGCACTGCCACCTGAGACTCACCTGAGCAGGTCTGACGCCATGGTCAAAATTGTGGAATTAATTGGTGAAGTCTCCCAGAATCTAATCTTTTGTTCACACTTGAAACCAAATAGACATACCAGGACTTTTGGCCTCGCTGTTGGGTGGAGCCAGACTCCCCGTCGTCAGCCTCTCTGTCTGTGAAAAGCACTTATGGGGCACGGGGAGTGCAGTGACCTGGGGAGCCTTGTCTACCTGCAGAGAGCCTGTAACCTGCAGGAAGAGTGGGGACACCCCCTTTATTCCAGTAGATATTAATGCTGGAGCCCCTCGATGGCAAATTAGGGTCCCATCCATCACTGAATCTGACCGAGCTTTGGGTTGAACTAGTTTGTGATAGATGAGAACACTCTAAAGAGGAAGGAATATCTTACTGAGCTGATCTTCAAAGACCACATGAATAACACTTTCTTTATTGCTCAATAATTGGTTGTGCTCTGTGTTATCTGCCTTAGAAACGGGAAGAAAGCTTTTCCTCTGGGTTGTTTTGTTTGTTTTTTTTTAATGGCTAACTTTCTTCTACCCAAAATACTTAGCATAGCTGGGGAATGTGACTTCAGGAGAATGGTTGAGAAGTGAGGGGATTTGACAGCTTGAACCAGCCCTTAAAATGAGGAAAAGCAAATAGGCAGCACTATTTCCATTTTAAGCATTGTCAGTGTAACAAGCATGCGGCCGAGTTTCAGAAGAATGCATGAATGTGAGGTTATTTGGGCAGCGGTAAAAATACTGGGAGAGAATTAATGGAAAGAGAAATGAAGTTAGAAACACACTTTGCCTTAGGGATAAAATTTTCAAAGCACTCTGGGTACTTGGATGTCCAATTCCTGTTCAAGTTAATGATGTTAATAAAGTCCTTCTTTCCTCTTTTTTGAGCTTTAACTCTTGTGTGCGTGCTCAAGAATGTGTTAAGCTCTGAATAAATACGAAGATGCTGTTTGTTTTGGGTAGCTTGTGGCAGAGGCTCTGCTTTCCCACCCCCAAAAAGTCAGGGGTGGGGTTGGGGGGGACAGTTAGTGTGTTCAAAGTCTTCCATCGCGTGGGGAAGGTGTGAAGTGTTTGTTCCACACGTGTTGCTGTCATTAGGAAGCGGGTGGAATCTAATGAAGAGGAGTAAGTTACAGTTGTAGGAGTAGTTTAATTATGTCCACATCTTGATTGTCAATCAAAAGTCTATTCCTTTTTAATAAGCTGTTAATATCACAGTAAGCATAGGGACCTGAAAATGAGTTGACCTAAGACTTGTCAGGTTGGAAGGCCAAGGGACACAGAGAGTAATATAAAGGCTGTGGTGGGAACCTGCTGAGATACACGACTCATTGTCAGTCCAGTATTTTGATCAAGAGTGTTCTTGTGTGTAAACCAGGCTCTGAGTCACAGGAAAGTAGTGAATACTTCCAGAAAATGTTTTGTTGTTTCTTTTTCAGAGAAAACAGGTGCAGAGTGACCTTTTGTTTCCCCCCCACACTGTGGTCTGGTGGGAGCATTCTCACTGAACACTCTGTGATACTTCTTGTCATGTTTTCTTGCATTTTCTTGAAGAATGCTAAAGCCTTGTGGAATTTATTGTTTTCTAGTGTTATCCCTAACTGGAAGGGTGAGTAGGCTGCAAAAACAAACAGAGGAGAGTATGTATATTGGAACTGAAAACTGAAACAGCAGCTCATGGAGGTACCTGACCCATCTTCCAGCCAATGACCAAACCTGCACAGCTGCAGTGGCAGACTTTACCTGCCAAACCTGTGTCCATCACCGGTGGAGATGGTCATTTTGTGCTGAAACCACGTGCTGCTGTCAGTAAACTGCTCCTGGTTGTACAGCCAAGTCCCTTTAGAGTTGAGACAGATGAATCTCACAAGCTGCCCTCTTGCCTATTTCTTTAAGGTAGATGCTTCCCCAGCCATCAGCTTCTTCCTGGCTTCAGTGGGACTCTGATACCTTTATTGATCTCTGTGTTTGAAAATTCTCGTTGAGTTTTACTCTTTGAGTATGAGAAACTTCTTACACCCAGTGCTACAAGTGCTTAAGTTAACCAAAGTACTGGCTAATTTACTGATGACATTTCTCCCTTTATGAAATTTCTTTTCTTTTTTTTTAAATGGGATTAATTACTCTGTAGAGCTTTTTCTAAGCCATAAAATTATTCTGGACTTCAGTGAAAACTGAACTGAAACATAGGATTGGAGTTTGGGAATCTTTTGAAGAACTTTTCTACTGTCTGCTTCTGGGAAGTCTTTTGTGGGAGGCATTTTCAACATTGATTGTTCAAAGGCGTGATATTATTGTTAACTACTCTCAAAAAATCTCCTTTTTAGAAGTTCTGGTTTTGCATTGACTGCGTGCATCCCCAGACTTAGGTTTCCATGAATTAAAGGTTATGCTTTATGATCAAAGCATTCTGTGTCCTCTGTCACCCCTACAGTTCATGAGGCTTTGCCTGCCTTCAGCTTGCTGAGCAGATCCATGGAACGAGGAGGACTGTCTGTATTGGGTCACTCTGGCTGCACTGCCTTTCCTTTGGAATCTCATGCTCACCAAGGGATGGTGTTGCCAATATTACTGATGTTTTTCATCCTTAAGGAACACGGAAAACAGAAGGGATAATGGAATCCATGACCCCAGTGTAACATGCTGTTGTGGGGCGTTGGCTGCTCAGTGAAATGGTTCTTGGGCCAAAACTCTCCCGTGCCCAGAAAAGGACGGAAACTCTTATCTTTAGGAAGGGCTGCAGAAAGCTAAATTGCACCTTGCCTTGCTTCTTGATAGCAGGGGACAGTGCTCGTTGTTTTATCTGGTTGAGGTTCTTCTGGTTACAGCTCGGCGCAGGACAAGTGTCTCTGCTGACTTTATAAATAGAGCGTTGACATCTCCCCACAGCTGGGGTGTCTGACTGTGTGCAGGGACTGTGCCTTCGCGCCGCGCTGTTGTGGGGCGTTGGCTGCTCAGTGAAATGGTTCTTGGGCCAAAACTCTCCCGTGCCCAGAAAAGGACGGAAACTCTTATCTTTAGGAAGGGCTGCAGAAAGCTAAATTGCACCTTGCCTTGCTTCTTGATAGCAGGGGACAGTGCTCGTTGTTTTATCTGGTTGAGGTTCTTCTGGTTACAGCTCGGCGCAGGACAAGTGTCTCTGCTGACTTTATAAATAGAGCGTTGACATCTCCCTACAGCTGGGGTGTCTGACTGTGCAGGGACTGTGCCTTCGCGCCACACACCATGGAGTTTTCTTTTGCCAAACTTGACATAGTGAGGCCGCTGAAACATTCCAGCAGATCCATCATCTATGGGATAACAGACCACACCGAGGCAGCTGCCTGGAGCCATTTTCAGGTTTTTATTCATACTCTGGCCTAAACGATGCTCAGAGAATTGAGTTGGGGTGGTGGTGATGGGGGTGGAAGAGGTTTGGACAACCCACCACCAAGATTGCCTTTCCAGGGGGAGCCTGCTCTATCTTTCTGTGGAGTCAGCAGCCTGAATTATCTTGGAGGGCAGGATCTCCTTGGAGGGCAGGATCTCCTTGGAGGGCAGGATCTCCTTGAAAGGCATTCTTTCTTATGGGAAACCATGGCCTTTCTTCTTGGATGGGGCTGCAGTAGAAATGCTAAGTTAGTTTCTTGTTCCTAGTATGGTATATCTGATAAAGGTGGTTTAATTTGCTTACAGGGATTAGGGAGTGGATTTCCCTCCCCGAGTTTTTCCTTCTCAAAGTTGGGAGTGTTGTGTGAATGCATGTAAACTTGTGAGTAATGGACTGCCTCGTGGGGTATTTATTTTATATGCAAGTGTTTATGTTAAATAATGTAAATTGTGTAAGAGTTGAGTGTGGGATAGTGATGAGAGCTCTTTATCAGAAACCTTAAAAAGGTCATGTTTGCACTGCTTTCTTGACGCCAGCATAACCCAAGATGTAGAGGTGGTGTGTTTGAAGTAGAGCAGAAGATGGCTCTGTGCTGGCATCACACCACGCTCCTTCCTGAGCTCAGCCCTCGGGGAGGAGGAGGGGTCTGTGATGTTACCCATGTCATCTTTGTATTCTCCCCAGCTGTGAAATTGTCTGAAATAAGGATTTGTGTATATGCAAATATGTACTGGCTTAATCCACATCTCCCCTTTCTGCAGAATATGTACATCCTCTTTTTGAGTGAACGATGTTACGTTGGTTTAAGGGTGATTTATATTGCTGGAACTCAGGTTTTTTTATTCTGCGTAGTTTGAATCTTGGGGTTTTTTTGGTGTGTGTTTTTTCTTAACCACTTTTTCTCAGTTCCTGGAGCACAAGGTTTGGAAGTTCTTTACTGTTTTTGTAACTTTATACTATTGCCCTTTTGCTGTTCTGCCCCCAGCGCCTCTTTAATTGACTAATAGTGATATAATTTCAACTGAAGCCTAGTCTGGTTTGGCTGAAGTGGTTTAAAATAGTACCTTATGTAAACCAGAGCTAATATGCACATACACAAACCCAATGTGTCCTGCTCCATGCAAATTACCTGCTGTCTTAACTAGCTTCTTGCTAGAGTTTTGCGAATTTTACACCTCTAACATGATTCCTATTTCTTACCCTCAAAACAGAGTTAAAACATTTTTGTTAGGAAGTAGCAGCTTCTGTGTGCGTGACTTTGCTTCGATGCTGAAAGAATCTCTCCTGATACTGATCTAATTTGCTGCCAGAGCCAGATATGCTATAAAGCAGAAAGTGGTATTTGCTTAAAAGCAACATATTCATAAACTAGGCTTTTTAGTAGTTTTCTGTTTGTTTTTTTTTTCTACTCTGTGCATCTAAGGAAGTGGGTTAGTATTGCTTTGATAACATTTGATGATAGTGCTACAAACTGAAAGTCGCAACACCAAATCTTTGGCAGAGAGAACGAAGCATTGCTTCTGTCAGAGGCTTTAATTGTGGCAGAAAAGCATCTGCCCCAAACTTATTGCTGCGTACAATTTTTTGGAAAATGTTGTAAATCTGACCTTTGTACTGCAGATGTACAAATTTATTTTCTTATTTTCCATTGGTTTCCATAATGGAACCAGATGCCAAATAAGTCAGGCTGATATTAAAGTCCTTGTTTGTGCTGTGTTTCTGTCAGGATAATTATTTGGTGTATCTCAGTTTAAAAATTATTTTTTAAGTCTTGTAGAAACATAAACGCTGTGTGGAATGGATGATTATGGAATTTGAGTGTGGTGTTGACGTAACCAAATTTTAAAAAATAAGGTAATTCTAGGTTAAATCTGCAGATAGTAATAAGCTGGCTTGGATAATTAATTTGGATTTAGAGTTGCTTAATTTCTCTTGGCATTTGAAAATCCCAAACTGACTTGTGGAATGTTCTTGATTGAACAAACTTTTATTGAAAACATGTGTGACTGTGTTCTTGAGGGCAACAATATTTGAAGAACAAAGTAGCATCTGTATCTAACTGGAGGTAGATGAGAAGACTTGCTGTAACCACGGCTAATGCCGGTCTTTGTGGCAGGATTCGATGGCACGGCTTCTGTTTTAGAACAAAGAAGGCAATAGGGGAAGTAAATTTGGTTCTGTAAAATGGCTGTTAACCTTTCTGAATGATATTTCAAATTCGTATCACTGACAAAGCTTGTATAGAAATCTGTATTTTCCAGGCTAAAATCAGAATTATTAATTAGCAGTAGATCTCAAATTCACGTAAAGTACTGGCAAGAGGATCCATTTCCTGTCCTTTGTCTAATTGTATCTTGGTAGAAAATTGCATTCAGTAGAATTGCCAGAATTTCTGAAATGAAACTGATTCAGAAATGAGGAATGAAGAATGGTACTGGATCTGTCTCATGTTAAGAAACAGATTTCTGTTGATTTAAAAACCCTTGTAGCTACAAAAAGATGTGTGGTAATGGAAAATATTAATAACACTTTCTTTGTGGTGATACGCACTTTGGAAATGTATTTTTAGTTATCTCTATGTTCAACGAGACTAAACTATTTTTTTTTTGATTCATTGCAGGACCAGTTTGACAACTTAGAAAAACACACGCAATGGGGTATTGATGTTCTGGAAAAATACATCAAGTTTGTAAAAGAAAGAACAGAGATTGAACTCAGCTATGCAAAGCAGCTTAGGTAAGTGGGGATGTAAAGTTCTGGGTTTGAGCTGCATCTGTTCCAAGCCTGTAATCATCTGCCAGTGGTGGCAATTCGTTTGGTTTGTAATAATGGCTTTTAGAGAATAGCTTTAATTTAGAGAATGGAAAGCTAAAGTTAATTTAGGATGCTGTTTTATTATCTCTGCTAAAAATCATATGCTTTGCAAAAAGAAAGGTTATTTAGGTGACTGAGTAGCAAACTAGGGCTTACTCACAATTGACCTGTGATTAATGGCTCAGGCTTTGAGGATAGCATTGTAATGTTTTCCATGAAATTAGGACTGCTGTGTGTAAATGCTGAAGGGCTTAAGAATTCAGCAGGATAATGATAATTTATTATAAGGTAAAGTTTAGGGTTTCTTTTCATAAGACAAACTCTTTATGAGTGCGTGTTGGAGAAATTGCAGGTCAGAAAGTCAGTCTCAGCCCTTGGAAATTTGGTCGATGTAGTTAGCCAAATTGCAGCCTGAGGTTTGAATTTTGACAGTTTTATAATCTTGCCACTGTTCTTGTGATGCGTCTCCTGAACAGAGCAGAGATCCTGTGATTTATCTCAAGTAGCTAAATTACTGGAAATTCCTGCTACGTATGTTTTACGTGTCTGGTTCAACAGTCAGGCTGTAGGGAGAGAAGGGGAGTGGGTGTGAGCCAGACCCGGAAAATGTATTCCTTGAGGTCAAATCCAGTGTAAATGGGGAAGGGATGCTAAAAACCTCCCACACAAATAGCTCTTACCCTGCTTTTCCCAGTAGGGTAGAAAAAATGCAAGGTGAACAGGGGTTCAGAGTACAACACACTGTCCTGCTGCTGCGGAAGGAGGCTGTGGTGCAATATTGTTGGCAGCCTCTGGTGTCCAGGGTGATAAACTGGAGGTGGTGGAGCTACCTGGGGAGGGGGCTAATTCTTCCCAACACTTCTAGTAAATCCATATCACTTTTTTGCATGATTAAAATACATATCAGAACTTTTTCCATCTACTCAGTATTTACAGAGATTGAGATCTGAGGTTCCGCCTGATCTGTATATATCTAAAGCACCATGTCTATTAAAAAAAAATAAAATAATCACCCAGAATTTTTGATGCTTGTGTTGGCATGGATTTGAGATGCACAATGGCCTGTGATTTACAAGGAGTTGGTGATTGATAAAACCCCGCCTTCATGGTTATGGGCTCTCTCAGGGGAATGCCGTGAGGATTCCCCAGGGTCGCTGCTACAGACAAGCAGGAAATAGAGAATGACTTGTGCAGGAAGAAATTGCTCACGTCCTATGGAGATGAGAAGAGATTGAATTACAGAGGCCAAATGAGCTGGAAAAAAGAGAGTATGACTGGAGTGGGAAACCCCAGCAGAGTATCTGTGTGAGCAGGCCTGTCTGGTGAAGAATCACACCCTAGACTCAATTAATTTCTTAGGATGATAAATTTCAGGTGTAAAGAGCATAATTATGAAAATGGACATTCAAAAAAAATGTTTAAGGGAAGTGGGAGTTCTACCTCAGGCTATTTAAGAGCTCATGAGCTTTACTTACTCTGTCCTAGACTTCCAAAACAATCTTGGTGAATTCTTTCCTTCTCCCTGTATTTTAATTCCCAATGCATGGCTGTGTTCGTCTCCCCACCCACAGGCATGATTTGAGGACAAATATATTAATCCCTGAGAAGCTCTTAAAACACAATGCTGTTTGGAGACATCTAGAAGTTAGAGGTGTACTAATAAAAAAAAAAAGGAAATGTAGACTTGTCAAATGTTGAGATAAAACAGTGCTGGACATTAAATAAAATAAATCATGCATCTGCTTCTAATAAGTCTCCTTAAGTCTGGTGCAAACCTTTCTTGTATCGCATCTGTTTGGTGTATAAGGGCTGCAGCATATCAGTGCATGTCATAACATGCAGACATGCTATTAAAAAAGGACAAGTCAACACAAAATACTCCTGTGGGTTTAACTCGGTTTTATTTAGAGTGTAGGTAAAGCTGCTGAACCTTGTTTTCTTTTGTGAAACTTCTGTTTTCTTGTCTACTTGTCAGCCTCCTCATCTGTTGGAGCCTAATTGTTTGCTATTTAAAAATGTTTCTTTCCTTCCTCTTTATAATTCCACAGATATATATGTAATATTTTGTTTTAAAAGCATTAAGTTAGATCTACATACTTGCAGGTTACATAAAATTTATCAACTTTTGCCAGTGGAAGAAACTCCCTGGTGTCAATATCTTACATAGTTAGATCTACATACTTGCAGGTTACATAATATTTATCAAATTTTGCCAGTGGAAGAAACTCCCTGGTGTTACATACCTTACACGTTGTGCCTGCACTATTCAATTCCTGCTTGTACCATTTGCAGTCTTGGTCTGAGGGTCCAGTTCACATTGGACATGATTGTTTTCTTAATTGCTTTGCATTATAATTGTTGAGTTGTTAGGCTGGGAAGGAAGGGATGCAGAAATGGTAGTGTAGTGGTGTTGCATTGTCCACCTTCCCTAGTCACTGCTTACCTTACAGCACACACACTGAGCATCAAACAGTGGATGGATAGCTGTGAGGAAGACATATTGGAAAAAAAAATGCTTAAGATACCAGGATAATCGGAGAATCAGGAACCTCTGGTGGACGATAAATGTGAGAACACACTGAGCATCAAACAGTGGATGGATAGCCTTGAGGAAGACATATTGGAAAAAAAATATGCTTAAGATACTAGGATAATTGGAAAATCAGGAACCTCTGGTGGATGATAAATGTGAGAGAAAGAGTAAGATGTCAAAGCAGAAATGAGGGAGCAGAGGAACAAGCTGGAAAGGCAGAAAAAAATGATGCATTGTGAGAGTCAAATAGAAATTAGTTGGAGACAGGTGCACAGGCGCGCACAGGATCTTTCCAGAATTGCTGTTTTATTGCTAATCTTTGTTCTTATTGTGTTCCCTCTTTAATCATGGTTAGCTCAGAAGGTGGTACTGCACAATTGCAGGCTGAACGTGTGAGAGTCGTATTGACTCTTACTCGATTCAGTATCACTTCTGGGTTTTTTGTATGTACCCTGGTTTTAAATCCTACATATGTTTTGATTAAGAAAAAGGGGGGAAAAAGTAAAGAAACTTGTATATATAAGCTCTATATTTTATGTTTTATAACGATGCAGAAAATAATTTGTTTAACCCAGGTACTAATCCTTGTTACCTGCTTTCAGAGTCTTTTTTTCTGTGAAAGCATAGTCTGGATTTTTTTTTTCCCCTAGCTCTGTAGCATTTCTACACCTTTAAAGCCTGACAAGACAACAGTAACTCTGTATGTCAGAATTAATTGGACAGCATGACAGTGCAGGGACACGTGTGTTCTGAGTGTGTGTGAAAATGCCTTATTAGAGTGGTTTTCTGTGCATGTTTTCACGTGGTTTTTCTTCTCCTCTTTGAGTGGGGGTGTGGAGGGAGGAGGCATTCCCAGGGCACAGGAAGAGGAATCATGTAGAAGAGTTTGCAGAATCCTTGCTCTGCTGGGATTCTTTGGTGGAAGGTGCTGTACGGATAAGTAGAGAAGTCATTGCAGAGCATCCCCTTTGAGAGAAGGCAGAGATGAGAAAGGAGATGCTTGTTTGGATCCCTTCCAGTAGGGATACTTAAATTTTGAGAAACACATGTTTGTCTGCAAATCTGCCAGGGTTCTGGCCACTGCTCTGTTTGGGCAGATGCTTCTTAATTCCTTAAGGAGACAAAAGGAATAAGAAATGTGAGATGAGGCCCTGCTGTGTCCCAGTTACCAGTAAAACCAGCAGGCATCAGGGAGTGGGTTACACCTCTGAAAAAACAGTTTCTTTTCAACTGGATGTGTGCTGGGGGTCCTCCAAAGAGTTTGGCACAGATGGGCCAATGCAACTTGGTAGTCCATTGGACAACGGTTCCATTAGTACTACTTGCATGTTTTTCTTAATTGCTGAAACGACCATGTAAAGCTAAAACAAATGGCTTCCATTTCACAGCAGGGTAACAGAGGCTGCAGGAAGGTGGACAGTAGTAGGGCTGAGTTTAGAATAGAGGAGGTCTCAGTGCTGCAGCACTGAAAAGGTCTTAAGTAAGAATTGTCTGCTCCCTGGCTTGCATTTTTTAATAGATGTGTGGTGTTGTACTGTGCTACAGCATAATGTGCATCCTAATGAAGAGCTTTAATTATCAGCAGGGTGTGTTGGGTGTTGGATGGGCAGCACACACTCATTCTACCCTTTGTGTGCTGCTGGGGAGGAGCTCCATAGGTGCTTTCAGGACAGGGAGAGCCATGTACTGTCAAACATGTTAGCAGAGTTATGGTCACATTTCTTATTCAAGATATGATCACTTAAAAAGCATATCAATATTTTAAATCACTAGTTGGATGTGGGGTAATGAGAGATAAGCATCTGTGCTAATTGGGGTAATCAAATTTCACATTTCTCCCACCATCAGTTGATAATCATAAAATGGACCCCCCCTTTTGTCATCTCAGTGCAGCTTCCCACAGCTTTATGAAGATTTTTCTCTTCCTTGGAAGCACCCTGCTAGAGGCAGGCAAACTTCCATGGCCACAAGTGTCATCTGCAGCAAACCACACTTCAGTGGGCTGGCAGACCTTTGGATATGGAGCAGCACCTTCTGCTGGTGGAGTCTGTAAAGTGTGTCTGTGTATCCAAGGACCAATATTTTTACTGTAAAAGGGTCTCCTTTAGATCAGAGGAAGGAGACCTGTGCTTCAGCAGAACCAGAACTCAGGTGTATTGACTTCATGACCTTAATTTGTTCTCAGGTTTATTGAGAATGTTGCAGTTTGGAGACTGAAGCACCATGTACCCTCACCTTAATTTGTTCTCAGGTTTATTGAGAATATTGCAGTTTGGAGACTGAAGCACCATGTTCTTTGAGTGTTGCTACAATGCAATCAGAGCCCAATTGTAATCATCATTCTGAAAACGTGTCTGGTCACTGCAAATAAAAACTGAAGCCCCACAGAATCTGTGTGCACACAAAGATTATCCAGTTAATTTAAAGAAAACTTTAATATATATGTATTTTTACTTTTAGGAATCTTTCGAAGAAATACCAACCCAAGAAGAACTCCAAAGAAGAGGAAGAATACAGGTATGTTCATGATCCACTGCTGAGTGAGCATGTGAAGAGGAAGAATACAGGTATGTTCATGATCTGCTGATGAGTTGAAGGAGGAAGGGGGAAAGTTTGGGTTACCAGCTAGGATTTGGCTTGTAAACCAAAAGTTTTAAAGTCAAGAGTACAGAAATCATAGACGCAAAAACAGGCTTATGCCCGGAGTAAGTAGATACTAAGGAGTGAATTTTCAAAGTTTGGATTTGGTCTATAACTATTAAATTCCCTTTATAGGGAAATCATAGACGCAAAAACAGGCTTATGCCGGGAGTAGGTAGATACTAAGAAGTGGATTTTCAAAGTTTGGATTTGATCTATAACTGTTAAAGTCTCTTTATAGGTTATGTTTTCTGGATGCCTGGTTTGGGGGTTTTTTGTTTGGTTTGGTTTTTCCACGTACCTTAAAAACTCTAAGCCAGACAATGTAAACCTGGCTCTTTGAAGTGAGTGGCCAAATTAATAATAACTACTTTGAGCAGGAACAGAAACAGTTGTTAATTTTAGCATGGAACTCCAGCAGTCTGCGCAAGTATTAAATTACTCAAATGGACTGACGACACGGATCAGTAACTTAGTAAAGGGATAATGTTGTGACTCCGCAGAGAAACCAGTGGCTCTTGAAGAGTAAGGTGAAGGATGTAGTTTGTACTCCCAGTATTCTCAATGTAAACCTGGCTCTTTGAAGTGAGTGGCCAAATTAATAATAACTACTTTGAGCAGGAACAGAAACAGTTAATTTTAGCATGGAACTCCAGCAGCCTTCGCAAGTATTAAGTTACTCAAATGGACTGATGACACGGATCAGTAACTTAGTAAAGGGATAATGTTGTGACTCCGCAGAGAAACCAGTGGCTCTTGAAGAGTAAGGTGAAGGATGCAGTTTGTACTCCTAGTATTTTGGGATGGATCAAAGCAGGACTTGCTGCTGCTGAAGGATGTTGCATGGCCTCAGCTGCCGGTGTCTCCCCGCTGGCAGGGGACCAATGTGCCCCTCGCAGATAGTGACTGCAGTGCCAGAATATTCCTGCTCTTGATGAGATTGAAGATATTCTTGAAAGAGAACTTTCTAGAGGAGGAGCCTTCCAACAGACAGGCCATAAGCCAGAACGAGAACCTTTTCCTTAGAGCACTCTTGACTCTGAAATTTCTCAACGCCAGCGTTTTGTAACGCATCAGCTTTGGATGAAGCCTGACCCCGGAGCCTTGTATTGCAGGAAGTGGCTCTGCCTCTGGAGAGCCTGGCAGCAGACTCAGACCCTTCACCTTGAAATTTGAAACATTTCAAATGAGTTTGGATGTGGATCCAACTGTATGATTATATAAACTTAGATTTTTTGGGTCAGACCCCCAAGCTGCTGTATACAGCTACTCTACTGACTCATATTAACAGAGATAACAGCCTTTTCATATCCTTTTTAATTTATTTTTAGTTAACATTGTTTGGGAATCAGTTATTTATGCCATTACTTCCTGAGATATGGATATTTATACAAGGAAGTTTATGTTACCAGCATATCAGCTGGTTGAGTCTGTACCTGGGATTAGGAAGAAATCTGCCTTTGGGTATTTATACCATAAATGGGTATTTTGAGTTTACTACAACGTTTTTTGACATGTCTTTCATTGCTGGAAAAAGGATATTGGAGTTAAATGATATATATGATGTGGCACAGAAGATCCTGTGTGTCCTTTGCCCTTTTAAATGTTGTGTTCACCTCCGTATAGTTTCCTCATGTCTCTAAATAATGTCTGAGGATTTGTCAGGCGACCTTTGGGTGCCTCGGACACTGCTTTGAGACAGCCTGTCTAAAAATTATCTGTTTCCAAGCTTATTGTCAGTCTGTAGTTCTGTGGCTTTGATCCTCTGTCTTTTGCAACTGGGATTTCTCCTGAGGCACCACAGCTTGACTGGGAATGTGGCTGCTTGTATTGGACTGTATTTTTAGTCTCTTTTTTTTTAGTTTCTTTTTTTTTCTGTTTGTTTTTTTATGCCATTTTCATCCCTATGTATACCACTTCTCTCTCTTTCCTCTAAATCTCTCCCTCGTTGCTTCTCTTTTTCACCTTTAGGTGATATTATCAATGCAAACTGCTGCCATTTAATATTAATAACTTCTCTAGCATGTACAAGTGCAGTGCTTCAAAGCTGCTGTTTCCAGCTGACCAGCACAGCCAGCTGGGGTATTTAAATGCAGCTCTGTTGGCGCTGCACTGAGTATGCTAGTGACATAATCTGCTGTTTTGAAATTGTGTGCACAGATGGTCATTTCTTCCTTTTAATAATACACAGAATGTTGCACTGGAGATTATTTTATACAAAAAGTAAACCTTGTGGTGGAAGGTACTAAAAAATATGGGTTGACAATGAACATCTGGTTAGTAAACTCACTACCTTGTTGAAAACTTCATAAACTATAGCTGATTTAAATCAAATTTACACTGTGGAAAGTTTTCTTTTCCCCTTTATGCTAGCCAAAAAGTTGGTTTCTTAGCCAGGATTTTGCAAGGTAGAGTACACTGATGACTCTGTGCACTGAATTGTAGGACTGGAAAGAGTGTAACTAGAAACGTTTGGTGAATAGAGATTAGAATAGTGAAGTCTCAGAGCTGTGCTGATAAAAAACCTGGCACTCTAAAACTGTGATATTTTAAGAGCCAATGTCAAACTGTCTAAATCAAGATTAATTTATCAGACAACTGTCAGTGTGTGGGATAAGCTTCCTTTTGAGAAATTCCTTCAAGTGAATTCCTTCTGTGCTAATTCATATTCACTCTCACGTAGCAATGCTAAATGCTTAAGAAGGATACAACCTCCCTTTGCAGCGTGTCTTCCTGAAAAGAAAGGGACTACAAGTAAAATGCATTTTTGTCTTCTGCAGGTACACATCAACTAGAGCCTTCCTAGCCACTTTAAATGAAATGAATGACTATGCTGGACAGCATGAGGTCATTTCAGAGAACATGACCTCTCTTATCACTGGGGAGTTAACACGCTACGTGCAGGAGCTGAAACAAGAGAGGAAATCGGTAATGGATCATTTTTTATTCTTCACAATTAATTGCTTTTTAAGACAGATGTTCAGTACTAGGGGAGTTCGGTGTTAAGCAAAATTTATTTGTAGTTAATAAATACAAGCTTTGCTAACGAACTGAGCATTAAAAAAAGTGGGTTACATACCCTGGCCAATTCACTGAACCATTTCAATCAAATGTTATAAAACCAGACAGCAATGCCTTCAGGAGAATCCCTGCTAAATAAGGTCAGAGATCCATCTGTGCTGAAGGCTCTGTTAGCCAAAAGCTCGTTTGGGGAAGAGTCCAGCAGCACTGCGAAAGCCTGAAATAAACAGAGAAACTAAGCTCGTTTGGGGAAGAGTCCAGCAGCACTGTGTAAAGCCTGAAATAAACAGAGAAACCGTATTCCTGAAACTGACTGAAAGAATTCTTAGGATCTTGGTTCATATTTTCCTGCTTCTCAGCCAGATCTGGTCAACAGAACTTTTACCCCTTGGTGAGTGGGCATAAAATAGTGATTCTGAGCATTGTTGTTACAAATAGTGACAACAGGTGTAAAAGGACTAAGCAAAGTGCAAGAAGGCATGGGAGCATCAGGGCACTCTATTTTATTTCCAAACTGTTGGTCCATTATGGAAAGTGCAAAAGGGCTCTTGCTCAGTCCAGCAAAACGTGCACATTTATAAGCAGTCCCACTAAACATCAGCATGTGTTAAAGTGCTGGGAAGCACCAGAGTCCTGGAAATTACCATATTTTCCTAAGTATAGCATTAGGATAGTAAGTCTGTCAACAGAGGAAAAGATACACCTTTAATTTGCAAAATGATGTGTAATCTTTCAGCGGTGTAATATTTTGGCAGCAACATGAACGGGTGTTTTACATATAGCTGTGATAAGAATGTTTTCTCAGCCACTTCTATGACCTTTGCTTCAGCATGGATTCTCTACGATAAAGCAAACAAAAAAAGGCATTCCAGTATGGCATTTCCCTGTCACTTCTACTGTTTTTACCTAATTTTTCAATTATATGGGCGTATAAGGTGATTGGAATATCTGTTAGACATTTTAAGTGTGATGAAAGAGATTTTGCTATCTTTCTTGTAAAGAATGTGGGCAGTAACTGTATTGCTTTTTTGTTTTATTTGTAGACTTTTGTAGTAAGTGTGGCTCAGAAGTAATAGGTGAATGACAGGAAAATTATTTTAAGATTGGTCGAGTGATAACAGCATGGGAACAGCAAAAAACCATCTGACAATGTAATTATCAGCTGTCGCTGATAATTCTTAGTCTTTGACAGAAAACAGTTGTCAGTCATGGTTGTTTGGGTTTTTTTTCTTGTAACACGAACATAAGCTACGTGAATTATGAATCCTTGTCTGATTCCTGTAGATTTCTCATTTATGAGCAAATAGTGTTGAAAAGAAAACTGTGTCCACCTTCAGGCACTTTTCATACATAGCCCTTTCTCGCTTCATACTGTAAACCAGAAATGCATCAATCTTGCTGGGATCTGCGGGAGGGGAAGGTGGTGCCTTTGTAAATATCACAGAGGGCTCATGCTTTGGCAAAACCTTTTATGATACAAATTGATGAATGGCTTGGGTTTTCCAGAAATTTTGCTGGCAGAGTTCTCATGCTCGCTGCTTGATATGTCATCAGCTGTTATGCTACGAGTTCATGGAAGCATCTAGGTTGGAAAAGACCCTGAAGATCATCAAGTCCATCCATTAACCTAACGCTGCCAAGCCCACCAAGTTGCTAGAAGCTGTAAGAAAAGATGATTGCTGCTGGGGCTAGGGCCACACATCAGGATTGGGAGACCCACATTCTTGTCCACAGAGTCTTGTATAATTTCATTCAGTCATTCAGGTGTCCAAATACCTGTGAAATGGCACAAATTACCAGTGGTTTCAGTATGACTGAGATAGATCAGCACCTTTGCTCTTTTTGTTACAGTTTCCCACCTGGAAGATGAAAATGATACCTAGAGGTGTCCTAAGTATAAATGTGTGAATGATGAACTCGGAGCAGCAGAAAGCAGTCAGGCAAACATCCCACTTCAGAGCTGCTGTTTCCAAAGCAATCCCCTTTGATATGCAATAGGAATTGTGCATTTAATGGAGTCATGGGGGATGAGGGTGGTGATCTTTAAACACGTGGGGTCTGATGTGTGCCTGCATTACTCTGTTTTCATGCTCATTTAGCTCTATTGATTAAAGTGGAATTGCACCAGCAGCTGATTGGGTCGCATAATTAGAAATCACACTTCTTTGTTTTTCCATGACAAGTACAAGCCCGTAGCCTGTAATCAGCACAGAACCCGGTAGTATATAAAGCCTTTCATTGGTTTAATGCTGGGTAGAATTCATTTGTCATGCAATTTTTAGGTGTGTTGGATTTGTTTGACTACTGTGAAAGGCATACTTGGGGTGCCTGTGTCATGTTTATCCGTGTAGGATAGTTGCTGATGGTGAAAAGAGGGGAAGAAGCAGCTGATTAAAACCAGGCAGGACAGTCTGGAGGCGGAACAAGTGGGATGATTTGCAAATTCACAGAGGTTTGGCACTGTTCAAAAGACACGATACCTCGTCATTCCTCTGGCCTGGTTTGGAGTTCAGGAGAGTTCTGCGTTATCTTTTTGTTTTTATAGATAATGTGCTTTGTGGCATGATGGTATTTTGATCATCAGAAAAGTAGTTAGAGAAATCAGACAAAGACTTGTTTTTGTGAAACTTGAATATCATAAGCAACAAAGGTCAATCCGTGGGTTAAACTTTATTGAACCACATGTTCTTCTTCCATAGGATGTCACTGTACCAGCCAAGTGGTTGCCCTCCCGGTGCCTGAAGCTGGGTGTGCACCCTGCCTGCTCCTCACACGGAGTGTGCGTGCCAGGGGGTGAACTCCCTGAGCTGTTTCAGTTCTTCCCAGAGGTCGGGTGAAGTGAAACTCCCTATAGCACAGTTCCTCACTTCAACTTCTTCTTGTGTTCTTTTGATCTTAGTGTGTCCATGCTCTCATGTGAGCAATTCTCATCTTCAGCCAGGCTCCAGGTAGCTGTTTCAAAGCTGGAATTTCAGTTCTGCGCTCCATGGGAAGGTCATGCCTCATCCTCCTTCCTTTTGAGGTTGTTGAGGCCAGATGCATGTGACTGTGCAGAGACCTCTGTCATCAAGCCACAAAAATGTGTTAGGGATCATCTCAGAGGGGTTCAGGGAAAGAACTTGCTTCTGCGGTCATTCTTCATGCCACCCCAATTTCACCAAAACCCTTACTTTGGGGTGGCTGTGGAAGGTGCCAGGTTTGAGCTGGGGGCCCTGCAGTATTCCAAAATTGACTCTTAATCTTGCTTGTCTATGACAAAAGAAAAAGGGGTGATCCCTGTAGTGTCAAGGGGGGTGTTTGGGCTTCTACTTCAGAAGCATTTCCAGGTTAGAAATGTACTCCAGTTCTTCTGCTCCCACCCATTGCGACTGTTGCCGTCGTGATGGTAGCTCCTAAGCAGACCAGTTATTCTCCACGTGAGAGATCACCAGCATTTTGATGGCTTAGTGAGGGAATCTGCTTCTCTGCATTGCTGCTCCTGCCAAATTACTCAGCATGCTTTGTTCTATTAAAAAAACCAATCATCTAGACACGGAGGCTTTTGTTACCCTCTTTTGGGGTGCCACCCTAGAGGAATACTGAGCAAACATGTGGCCAGCGCAGCCCAAGCACTGACAATTTCCTTTTTTTATCTTAAGGCTTCTTGAGATAGCTCTGTTTAAGTGTTCTCTCAACTATGGCTGAGGAAAACCCTCAGTACTGTAGTTTATCTGGATAGAAATTCAAGAATTAATTCCTGGGACAATTGTGATTCAGATCTTTGGTCGCAAACTAGGTCTGACTCATGATCTCCTCTGGCAGCAGCTGCTCTGTGTAGCTGTTGCTCGTGTCAGCTTTGCTAAAAATGTATTTGGGAGTCATGAACTATCCCTCTTATTAAAGCTGCTGCTTTCACCTCTACCTCCACCTCCCCTCGGGGGTAGGCTGGCTCCGTACAATCAAGCATGAAAGTCAAGTACGAGCCAAGAGCTTTGCTGCAGACTGAACTGGTGCAGCACTGGGATTCTGTGGTTGGGAGAGAATTTACCTGATGTCAATACGTTCCATTTTGTGTGGGGATAGAAGGGGAGCAAGGAATGAATGCATCCTTATGGGTACCGTGAGGGCAAAAATGGCCTGGTTCTTCATGGTGGAGCGTGTGTGCCCTCCCTGTGTGTATTCATATGGGGGGTGTACATGTCAGAGAACTTTCTGTTTCTTGTACGCTCTCAGGTGTTGATGAAAAGTAAATAATTGGAGGAATTCTGCCATGGTCATTCATTCTGAATAGTGCCCTGTTCTGCAAATAGTCCTGTGGTTTTCAGCAGGATTTCTCACACACCGTGCAGGCGTGAGGGGGACAGCAGAACACAGCCCTGTCAAGTACACAATGGGTTTTTCCCTCTTGTATTTTGGATGTGCCTCGAGGTCTCTGTGTGTTTGGACCCCAGCTGGGCTTTGTCCTGCAGAGGTACAGAGAGACATTGCTGCCTTCTAGAAATTCCAAACTAATGGCAGAGCAGGTAGTAGGAAAAGAGAGACAGTGAAAAGAAGTGAGTCGACAGAGTTGAAGTTGATGAGATTCAAACTGAACTTTCCCCAGCTCTCATCCTGTGATTTCCAGCTTACTGCCCCGTGAATGGTGTTAGAAGTATTTAGTTTTAATCTAAGGGTATAAAAATTAAACGTTAATAAGTAGTTGCCAGTACCTATTTGGTAGGTACATGTTAAGAATAATGTTCACACGGAAGGCTCCAAAGGAGAAGGGGGTTATGCCAGAATATTAAGAAGTAGCACTGATGAACATGTGCAAAGATAGTCGTGTTTTGTGTCAACGTTCACAGGACTGTCTTAGGCTACTCTTGTTACAAATGAGAGCGATAAGACCTCAAGAGCATGTTGCTATTCTTGGAAACAAAGATTTCTTC